TGTCACTTATTTGAAAGTCACCATCATGTCTCCTTATTTTCTCTTTCTTTTTGCTAAGCACTTTCAATGATTTTAGATTAATTAGACTCTTCACTAACCTGGGTGCATTAATCTGTCAGTAAATCCAAAGAACATTTGTAGTAAGTTGTATTCAGATTCATGCAAAATACAACTGTACCTCTCTAAACTGTAATGCCACATGTGATGAATACAACACAAGATTGCATTAACTTTCTTTAGCAGCTCCATGGTGTGCATGCTGACATTCTCAAGTCTTTTCCATGTGAACTGCCAGTCCCCCAGTGTTTGTGTGTGTGTGTGTGTGTGTGTATGTGTGTGTATGGAGTTGAGGTTTTGTTTTTTTTTTTTTAACCACAACTTTATGCCTTTACCATTATTGAATTTCATCCTAAATAAGAAGGTTTTTCCAGCTTGAAAGCACTGTGAGTCTTGATTCTCATCTAATATTTAGGGTGTTTCTTTTAGATATGTGTTGTATAAAGAATTGATAGTCTATCCAGCACTGATTTTATTTTTACTGAAAAAATGGGGTCAACTGTAGAGTGCTGAAAATCATCTGTGCCTCCAGGATTATTATCATCATTAATCAACTGTCTTTGTTGTGGCATTTAACTATTATTAAAAATTGTTTTCTGTCCAGTCTCCTTTATGTCATTAGAGGTATGCTGGCTGTCAGCACATTGGCTAGCTCCAGGCCTTTGAAGAGTCCCATTTTTTAAATTCTCCTTATAAAAATTAATTTAATAAAAAAGAAATTACATCCCTACAAAAAGATATCATCACAACCATTACAGTCAAGAAATTTGCTACCAAAAGGATATGAAAATGACTAAACACACACACACACACACACACACACACACACACGCTTAAATACATTACTAATAGGCACCAAGTGAATATCTTGGCTCTGAGATTGAAATGTAAACAAATTATAAAGTGAAATGGAATGGCTAGTATGGTATGAGGAAAACTACATCAAAAATGCAATTCTTATCCCATGGACCCCAAACTTATTTTTATAGAAGGTCTTTCCATAAACAGTCAATATCAGAATGTGAGATGTCTTGGCCACATGTTATAATTTGTGCACCTAGTTTTTGATCTGATTATTAACTGGCTGTTACTTAACTCCTCATGGTTGTTATAGTCTTTGGAACAAAGTGCTTAGTTTATCTTCTGTCATCTATACATTATAGAAAGCACTATAGGAAGTAAAAGAACCTTCCAGGAAGGTTAAGCACTTCAAAAATAAATACTTTCAGCATCAGTCCTCTGGAGTCTTGAATTTGTCATTCTCCACATATGAACCAACTACAGGAAAGAAAGTTCAGGAGTGTTGTTGTTTCAACTTATTGTTGCTATTTAATTATGTCCAAATCCAGCCATCAGTTCACATCTTGAGTTCTAATTGCCTCTGAGAGTTCTCTGCACAGAACAATAGCTACAGTGACTCTTCAGAACAGAAGTCATAAATATAGGTCTTTCCTGATCTTGATGAATTAAAACCAAAGGAGGGGAGACAGTTTGTTGTTGCAAGAAGCCATCTGTTTATTTGTGTACAGTGTTTGTATTCAAATTTAAGGAAATTAATCAAGTAAAAAGCATCAGAATTCATAACACGGTAAACAAGGATACTGAAGAAATATACACTTTGAGAAAACCAAGGAATTAATGAGGTTTTGAAGCTCTTTAGTTTAATCTTCTCTGGTCCCAAGGAGACCTCTCTGCTGCATGTATAGTGCGTGACTTACTTTGCATTGATTCTTGCTACTTCAGAGCTCAGAACATGAATTGGCGACAAGTGCTAAATTAATGAATTAGCGGCTGTCAGCACAGTGACTGTACCAGCATGATTCCTTATTTAAGGAACTTTTCTGATCCTTGGTTAACAGGGAACTGAGTTAACCAATAATAAAAATCTATCCCAGATCCATGCAGGTGCGTAAAGATTTGAATATTTCTTTAGGAGACATGTCAATCAACATACAAGCCAAATGGCTGGGGATGTTCCTCAGTCATGCTTAGCATGTGCAAGGCCATTGTTTCATTTCCATGCACCAGAGAGGGGAGCAGAAAAAACTGTGAGACAATTTCAAATGGTTGCAGGCTTGGGATATATGCCAACTCCTTGTTGATTGCCCAAAAGTTGTCAGGAGATAAGAGACAAGGGTTGGCAGCATGGCTCAAGCAATAGAGTGCTCACCTTGCAAGCAGGAAGCCCTGAGTTCAAACCTCAGTGCTGCCAACAATAAAAAATAAAAACCCAAAACAGAACAAAACAAAATTGCCAAAGTAAAAACAATGTTAAGGAGATATGAGGCATTTATTTTTAAGAACTTGAGCCTGGACATTTAACTCTCCATTCATAAGTTTGATGTATAAGCTTAGGGTTGAAGCCAGCATTGCAGCCATACTAGCATTGCCTGCTACTGTCTTAAGCAGTGAGTTCATTCCCCTTGCAGTGAGACCCTCTGAAACCATTTGAACTTCACAGCAGAAATTCTTTTCATTTTTCCTGCATGTAAATATCCTCAGTCAACTACACATGCTCAAGAGTACAAATTGTTATGCCCTTAGAGTTATTCTCTGAATGATTTGTGCATGGATATCATGTTTTCTGCAAAATGAAGAAAGGCAGAATAGTGCAATAGATAATTCCTTAACCACTCTCAGGCATCACTGCCCTGTAAACAGTGATGATAGTAATGATTTATTAGGAACATGTGAAATAATCCATGTAAGGCACTTAACATCATTAAGGGACTTATGTATCATAACTGTTATTCCCTCAGCTTCCTTTATATATGAAATCCTTGTAACACTCTGTATGTTTGCTGGATTAATCAGCAAATGAGTGAGTGACACTTGAGTCTCATGCTCTACTGACTGAGCTAGCCAGGCACCTTTAGTGAACATCTAAATTTTGCAAAATCAATGTATAGCTATTTAAGATAAAGTTAGGCAACATTTTTGACAAATAAAAAGTACAGAGGTATATAATTTTAGCCTGGGGTTATGTTTCAGTCTTCCTTTTACAGAGGGGGAAAATATAAATCCAAAAGTCTAGTACCATATAGTCAAAATGGAGTTTTTTCTAGATTTTTTGCTTAGTATAAGATTTGCCCTCACATGCTTCCCTCAAAAAAAACATCTTAGTCTATATCTATTCCTGAGTGTTAGTGAATCAATAGATTTTTATTATGTGGCTTACAAAAGCTTCAGGCTTTGGAATAGGGAATTTCTTTCCCATTACCTCTTAGCTGGCAGTACCTGTTGTTCACGTCTCATTTCACGGACATCACTCATTTAATAGTAACTAAAAGCACATCAATCCATTTATCAAGATCTTTTTCTATTTTCAGAAAGTAGCAAAAATATATCCTACTACTAGTTTATAACCTATTTAAGACAGAGACTTCCGTTTATAGAAACCTGAGCTGTTTTCTTTCCATAGTTGGATAAAAGTGTAGAAATACTGTTATAAATACTCTCTTTAGACGAGAAATTTTGCTCAGGTTGTGGGGAAGTAGGGCCCATTGATAAGGGGTTGAGGTAAAGGATTTGGTCACTACAAAACCTGTACACGTATTAAAACATCACATTGTACTCTATAAATATGTTCACTTAATAAATATATATCTCACAGCCTCAAACACAATCCTGTAAATATGGAAGATAATTAATCCATGTTTTTTCGGTGTGTGGGGGTGTTTGTGTTTGTTTTGTTTTCAGGTTTGATTTCTCTTTTGGTGGTACTGGGGTTTGAACTCAGGGCCTTGCACTTGCTAGGCAGGCATTCTACCACTGGACTCTGTTAGTCTGATTCATTTGCAATTGTTTGCTTGGTTTGGTTTAGTACATAGAAATTTCTGAATTCAGAATTTCATTCTTTGGGCATTTATATGACCTAAAAATGGCCTTAAATGATTTTAAATTGCTTGTTATTATTGTACTCTCTGACACCATTATTGAAACCATCTGGTCTTGAAAAGTATGGAACGACAATGTATGAGAATGTAGGTTTGGCATTTATAAACTATCTCAACTAAGCAAACCCATTCCATCCCCAACTAAGACTATAATGTAAAGAGTGAACTTAAAAACTAATTAATAGTCTTTATTTTGAAGATGTAATAGATACAAATCATTTTGCCAGTGATGTTCATTGCAACATTATTCATAATTATATTTGTATTAAAACTTGCTCAAATGCCTTCTCATTTCAAAATAGTTAAAAATGTAAGCTTAATCACATATTATACAGTTTATTAAAATGGACAAAGATAAAACATGTTTATATTAAAGAAAAGAGAAACATACACCATGTTTACAACAATGTAAACATGTTGAAACATGTCTGAAACATGTTGAAAAACTACCAACCAAAGAAATTATACCAGAGATTCTATTATAGAGAGGCTATTTATTATATAAAGATTTTATCTGGGCATTGTTTTTGCATTGTTTGAAGGTGTTTTGTTTTGTTGTCTTTTGAATTTTCCTGAATTTTCTAAATTTCTTACACTAAAACACTTACCACTTTTTATAACAGAAAGAAAAGACCCAATGAACTCAAATTAAATAGATTTTCTTGTTTGTACTCAGCTGAGATGTAGCTTTTAGTGAAACTGGAGCAATAAGAAAACCTTTTGCAAAGAGGCCCTTTCACAGCAGGGTACCAGAAAGTGGGGCTTCCCTCAGTCTTTAGAGATCTCACTTCACTGCTCCCTGGGTGAGTTATGTTGGTCTAGGAAGGTTCACATAATGAATGATTTCATCTGTTCATATTAAAAAATCACCTCCTGTCTGGACCTGGGTTTCCCAAGAGATGCCTAAGGTTTGTTGGTCTCAGCCTAAGAAAAAAACAAAGCAAAACTACTTGCATACTACTTTTAGATTCTGTATTTTATTTCCACACAAGCTCACAGGCTCTATTCTTAGTGTCTTCCCTTCCTTTTCTTTAACTCTCCAGATCCAACAAAGGTAATGGTCCCACCTTCTAGTATGGATGTCACTGTTGGAGAAAGCATTGTTCTTCCTTGCCAGGTGACACATGATCACTCGCTGGACATTGTATTCACTTGGTCATTTAATGGACACCTGATAGACTTTGACAAAGATGGGGACCACTTTGAAAGAGTTGGAGGGGTAAGTATTAATATTATATCATCTATAGGAGCTATGGTATATAACCAAACTTCTTTAAACTGCCTCAACCTAACTTATTTAGATTAACTTAAAAAGAAAATACAAAGTCATTGTTTTATAATTTTGTTCAAGCATTTTATTTCATAAAAACTCTTGGGTAGTCCTTCTTTTTATGCCATTTATTCAGTAATGCTACATGGCAAGCCTGCCCTCTATTCTGCACAGCAATCCTACAGGTTAGTAATTTATTCCTGTGTGTGAATGAAGAAAGTGAAGCTCATAGAGTTGAATGTCATGTTTTTCCTTCATAGATCCTAAATTGAAACACTCAGCTTAGACCTTGTACAGTATGCCCCACACTATAAAACATACTATGGAACCTGATTAAGAAAATAGCTTAAGTATAGTTTCTTTCTACATCTTTAGGCTGCGAATATTACTCCCCTTGGCTTATGTAGAAGAGTCACCATTGTAAAGTTAGGGTTTGCTTTCTTGATTCTGAAAATATGGTGAGGTGGTTTATTATCTCCAGGTAGTTTGAATCCAAATGCTTCAATTTTTAAAATGCCTTACTTTTCATAAAAATGTGTATCACTGAACGTATAACAAGAAAAAGTTAAATCTGGAAACAATTTGTGTCAAAATCATTCTCAAAACTTATTTTTCTGCCCCAACATAGCCCTACATTTCAACTGATAATAAAGATTTACTTTGGCTTCCAATCTTTTAGAGAGGTCTAACCAAAAATCAGTAGAATATAAAAATAGGGCTGTAATTTGAAAAGCCCTCCCTGCTCTCAACACTGCTGTAAGAATCCTATTTTCCCACCTCATCTTATCCCACTTAGGCTGACAATAAGTGGCCTGAAGCTAATAAAGGCATCCATAGGCTATACTGGGGCCATGTTCTCAACCTAACTATAGCACTACTTCTGTTCATTATATGCATGCTGACTTTCTCAAGGAGTTTGAGTTATAGAACACTAAAGCATGATTTAAATGACCATTTTCTCAGTTCTCCCGGGATGGTATCCACCTGGCACTATTTTAAATGCATAGAAGAGTTAATTCACTACATCCGCAGATGTCTTATTTCATTATGGATTCTCCATTTTGGAATTCTAGTTGAGAAAGGCTGGATAATATTGCCATTATTCACCATTCTAGACCTCTTCACACAGTCCGGCTTAATAATTTTGGCTTAGTGAGGGTGTTATAACTACAACATAAGGGCACTGAAGATATTAAATGCCATTAAGTCTAAAAATGTACATTGTCTCAGTCCTATCCCAAAAGAAGTACTTAATAAACTTTAATGATTATATTATGTGAAGAAAGGATAACATTGATTAAAATAACAGGAATATATAGACTGAGAAAATTCCTCATAAATTAAGCAGACTAGCTGTTTCTACATTAAAATCAATTTCTTGGGCAAGGGACATATTAAAAATTCAAATGTCATGAGTACCAACCAATTAGATTCCTGATGATCAAAAAGGGTACCTAGTGTCCTGCTACAAAACATCAGGACTGAGATCCAAATGGAAAAACACTAATACTCCATTAGGGGATCAAGAACTAAGGGCCACCTTTTGTAGAGACCACTTACCTATAGAACTAGTCTATTTTGCCTTTCATCTGAGAATGTCTCCCTCCTCTGTGAAACTAGTACTCTCGCCAATCCATTATGGCTAAGGACAGCACTAAGATAGTGAGATCTAAGTGGATTAGCCACCAGGATCATTAATGTCTGTAGTATTAGGATTTACAATAGAAGAGGAAGATTGTGCCTTTCTGAAGTCAAGACCATTTCAGTTTCTGTTCCTGAGTCAGCATGGTGGAAATGGTGTTTGGTAGTGTATTATTTCAAGTGCTCTGGCAGGCACAGAACAGATCACAGTGGGAGGAAATAAGCTGCTACAGTTGTGTTCTCTTTGGTAGGAATATAAATGTAAATCATAGTTAATGGTTTTATCTGGATATTTCCAAAGAAAAGAGTCTCTTTTTAAAGACTCTTACCTCAATACTGATTTTATTTTTTTAATTTCAGTTTTTATTTTAAAGATATAAATCCAGCCAAAACTTAAGAAGAATTAGAACATGTTCTAAATCACAAAATCATGAAGTTCTGTTACTTCTGTTCTTTAAAATAATTAGGCTACAACAGTTTCTTTGACATTTAAGCCCCCAAGGAATGAAGTGAATTATTGAGATAGTGTAAGTATTTCCTTAATGCCAATATGATTTCCATCATAAAATCAACATGACTTCCCACCTTCATTGTCATCCCCATGAGTTCTGTTTTGCATTTAAAACTCTACTCAAAGTCCCAACACGTGAAATGTCTTAGGTAAAGAAAATTAATACTAATACTGATGATGATAATTCCTTTCATTTACAAAGTACCTAATCATTTATCAAGCACCTTTTTCTTATTTATTAGCTCCTTAATCCTCACAGATTCCCTATGAAATAGATTAGTAATTATTTTTCCATTTTACTGAGAAATTATAAAATGTGATCAGTAAATAGTGGAAATTGAATGAAAACAAAAATGTTATAAATAAAAGAACTTTGAGATTAAAAAAATCACAGCTCTTCTTGACTTAGATTTAAAGTCTTTGATATGATTGTTTCACAAAGAAAATTGATCATGACCATCAATAATGCCAGTTTAAATTTACTCTTTGTTTCATAAAAGGACTTCACAAAGACATACAGTCTCATTTAATTCTTACAACATAGCACAGTACGCAAGGCATCCTTCTTTTTAAAGGTCAATAAACTAAGACATAGACAGATTAAGAGATTTAGATGAAATCACACAGCAGGGATCAGCCCAAAACAACTAAGTATCAAAACTGCAGCTCTCCCTTCTCTATATACTTTTGTCACTGTTCTAATCCTATTCACAATTGGTAGTTCTGTCTCTTTCATTCTCCTTGATAAGTATAAGCGTGATGTGTTACACTCAAACAAAGGAAGAAAACCCAAGTATTTACTGATTTCAAATGAGGATAAGGTCTTTCTGGAGGATAGTCTAATAATATCCTTAAGAATAGGGATTGGAACTGACTGTGTGAATTAAAATTTGGCTCTGCTTTTACTAGCTAAGTGACTTTAGGTAAGTCACCTAACTCTTTTCACTGGTTTCCTTATGTGAAATAGCAAGAGTACCTGCCTCATAGGACATGTGATTATTTAATGAGTTAATATAGCTAAGGCACTTGGAAAGTGGCTGCCATATGCAAAATACCACTAGGTGCTATTGCAGGTGGCTCATCCCTCTAATCCTAGCTACATGGGGGGCTGAGATCAGGAGGATCATGGTTCTAGGCCAGCTTGGGCAAATTGTTGGAGAGACTCCATCGCCAAAATAACTACAGCAAAATGCACTAGAGGCATGGCTCAAGCAATAGAGTGCTTGCTTTGCAATTGTGAAGCCCTGTCTTCAAACCACAGTCCCACAAAAAAAGAAAAAAAAAATACCACTAGCATCACCAATTATTCTTGCCATTTTGGAGGAAGAGCAATTTCAGGATCTAGGTCAACTTTCCATTATATAGTTTAGAATGGGAAAATTTGGGAAGGCCAATATACCCCAGATTTTCTCATCATCCTTTGGGTTTAGGAAGAAGCTGCAGCATCCCAAGGGTAGTCTATAGAGTGGTCACTTGCTTGAGCAACTGTTCTCCAAGCTTTTGATTAACAGCCTTTTGAAGCCAAACCTTAAGGTGTAGCAGAGTTCTTCAGTTAAATGCCACCTTTGTACCACCCTGTGAAAGGAATGTCTTCCTATTTACTAAAAGTAATTTTGCTGTAGAAATATTTCTAGGGCACATAGACATTCATACTGGGATGTAATTAGTCCTATTCATCTGCTAATCAAACATGCATTTGGCATTTGGAAAACAAATTAGCACTGTTCCACATTAGGTGTTGCAAGATTTCCTTGGAGAGTCTGGTCTTTATAATCCTTTAATTCAAACCTGGGAGCAATCAAAATGCTGGCTGCAAGACAGGGTTGTTCAGAAAGATGCAGATGCCTCCAACTGGGGGCTTGCTTTCCCTTTCCAAATATAGTTTCAAAGTTTCAGAATGCCAGTGCAGAAGGTAGGCTGAGGACAAGTCTAAGGGAACCCAAAGACTAGATCAAGAGCCACCTTATATAAGCTTAATGCTTTTAGCAGAGGTAGCAGGCTGCTCCAGAGCCCCAGAGAAGCCAGACATCTGAGCTCTCACTAAAGGTGTGTTCTGAAAAATGTTCACATTCTTATCTCTCAGGCTGGCTCACATATTTTTAATAGACCATGGCTTGCATCACTAATGTTTTCATCAGCCAGTGTAAAATAAATCCATTAGTCACAGTGTCCTTCATGTGATAATGATATTTAGAGCTCATTAAAAAGTAATTGTAGCCACTTTCCTCTACTTTATCAGCAGGATTCAGCTGGTGATTTGATGATCCGAAACATCCAACTGAAGCATGCTGGGAAATACGTCTGCATGGTCCAAACAAGTGTGGACAAACTCTCTGCTGCCGCAGACCTGATAGTAAGAGGTATTGCATTTTTTTTTTGGTCCTTAAAATAATTTTGTGATATGTACTCTATCAGACTTCTAAAACTTCTGCGGTTTAGATTTATGGAAAAACGTCAGGCAGAAGCTAAACATTGTAAACAGTGGATAACACCCCACAGAAGTTTCCAGTGCATGTATTTCTCATAGAGAATTATCAGACAGTACACTGAACAAATTCAGTTCTGTTATACTAAAAATAACTCATGTGAGTGCCCCAATTATTGCAGTTGGAGTTGATATGACATTCTAGAATAAATTCAGGTTAACAAAAGCAAGTAGTTAAAAAGGGATCCACCTGTGCCCCGAGGTTATTAGGGGAAAATAGGAAATTTTCGAATATGGATTTAAAATATGGCTTTGGAGGGAGACACCCTTTGACTATCTTAGATGCAGTAAATAAGCCAGGAGTTAATGTAAAAACTAACATTTGTGAAACTCTCTTTAATGTCACCATCATGACCCAACTTGGATATAACAAGTGTAAGCACCCCAACTGAGCAATACCAATTGAGCATATTCCAATCTTCACCAAACCAATTTGTACAAAAAAAAAAAAACCTGTAAATTGACTTTTAAGAATACTGTTAAAGGAAAATTAAATTAAAATCTTAATGAACCAGGTACATACTGAGCCTGGGGGTATAGCTCAGTGCTGGAACACTTGCTTAGAATGAATGGAGCCCTAAGTTGAATCCCAGCACCACAAAAAAATAAAATAAAAAACAAAAATGAAACCAACCCAGAGCAGCAAAACCATCTTCTCCAGGATCCTAACTATTGACCATGAGGCTTCTTTGGCAAGCTGATTTAGCATGGCAGGATTTTGACTGCAAGAAAAAAAAAATCCAAGATATCAGAACTGGAGGCAGGGTGAATCTGAATACACAGGGAATGAGGTATTACAGGAAGAACAAAAAGTATTACTGGATCCCGTAGGCAGAATATGAGGGGGGAAATATATAGGAATTGTCAACTTAAAGTAATTGTCAAAAGAAGTTAAAGAAAAACATTTATATCATGACTACGTTTAAATTGCTTAAAAATCCTTTCAGTCATGGTGCACATAGTTGCTAGATAAGAGAAAAAACTTCAGCCAGGTACATCTGCCCACAGAATAACTTATAAAAATATGTTTATTTACATTTTTAAAATATACCAGAGCTGGTCTACTCTCTCTTCCCTTGGGAACAAAAGAATTCTTCCCTTGGGAACAAAAGAATTCTGTTACTGGAAATTTATCCTCTATTTAATTAGGATAATGTTCAGATCAGCAGTTTAAACACCAATAAATTAGACTAATAAATATTTAAATGAGTAATACTTGAAGTTCTTAAATGATATAGTATACTTCATTTCACAGAAAATAACATCAAATACCAAGAGGAATTCGCAAACGCAGTCTAAAAGAAAATCTAGTCTAATCAGTTAATAAGGGCAATAAATTAATATGCCATTTAAAATCATAATCTTTTGTTTTATCTCCTTCTCTGCCCTTGCAGCTTTTCTGCGCATTACAGAGGAGAGGCAGAAGTGTGTTTCATTACCTCATATTTAGAAATAGAATGCCTATTAAGTGTGGAGTCTGGAACCTTTGATGCCCACTTCATTTACCAATAATGTTTTAATGTCCACTAGAAACACCACCCTTCTCTGAGCAGGAAGCAGAAACCACCATCAAACCAATAGTCCCTCTGCTGTTGCTTATGACAAAAATTTCTATGGGCCTTCAACCATGTTGTATCATTTTGTTCAAAAGACAAACATTTGCACATTTTGTCATTTCAAAAGAAGTACCCAACTTTCCCAAAGCAAAGTAAATATTGCTATGCATTGGTAGGAGTTGGTGACAGAGAGGTAAAGAAGAACAAAATTGTGAGAGTACCATCTTTCTCTAGTGACCAAATTTGTATCGCTGCTTCCTTTCCTTCTTACACAGTGGATAACAGAGGGCTCAGATGCTTATTGATTTAATTCTTTTAGGAGTTGGGAAGGAATACTTTTCTATTTGTGGTACTTAGATCTGAAAGGCCAAAGCAGCATCCATAAAGAAAAAGGATAGAAGTGCTAGGCTAAGAAAGCTAGTCAGAAAAAAAGTATGTTATCCTCTGGGACTTTATCTGACTAATAGGAGTCCCAAAACCAAAGGTTACCTCAGTCCTGTCTAGGTGGCATTAGATTGACATGCTGAAATGTCACCATGGAAAATTAATCAGTTCCAGCATACAGATTTGTAGACATTTCATTCAGGAGTGGGAGGGAGAAGATAAATTTAGTCTCACCTGTGGGTCTATAAAAATGATTTTTTAAAAAAGAAAGAGAATGTAGGGCACCACATAAAGGTGAAGGAGTGAATTCCAGAACAAAGTCTTACTTCTGGAAATTGCCGTTAACTTTTTACCACTCTAGAAAGGTCTCTAATTTTTCCCCTGTCCCAGTGACATGACCAAATTGGGAGTGCATTTCATTGCTGTACTGGGGGTTAGCAGATCCTTCCTAGGACTCCCTCCTTATGCCTGTCTAATGGGCATGAGGTCTGTCATCCTGTCCCTTCACCATCACCTTCTCTCCTAAGGTGGCCAATTGTGCATTGTTTAAATTGCATTTCACTGCCTGGCCAGAGGTGTTCATGTTGGAAACTAGGATTGTTTTGGGATCTTTGCTCTGACCCTGTTGATATTTTGTCTTTTTTTCCCAATTGCTTTCCAACCCGCTATTCCTTTATGATTTCCAAGCCTTTGGTTAAGTTGGATTTCTTCCCCTTTCCATGGTTTAAGTACATGGACAGAAACAACAAACATCAGGAGGTTAAGTAGAAAAATACAGGTATGACTTGCAGAAATGACACAAGAAGCCCTTTAGATTCCAGCCCAGTTTTGAAATTGCTTTGAAGAAAGGAATGTCTTGTGACTCCTGAGTGCTGGCCATTTTCCTAGCAGTTCCCTTCCACATCAGTGTGTTCTCTTACTGGATTCGGTGAGAGATGGGAAGGGTTTGTTAGGAATTACAATGCAGCAGAATGTGTAGAGCAACGTGTCACCCCCAAAGTTTCAAAGCTATTTCTGCTCATATCCACATCCTCGGTGGTAGGAATGACCATTTCCAGCATACTATAATATTACTGAAATCAGGAGCAATACCTAGCTTTGTCACTGCTGTATCCCCAGATAACAATGTCTGACCCACAACATGAACCCGTAAGTCTATGATAAATGGAGAAGTGAATCTGGCCCCTTACGGTGCCCCAATTCTGTCTCATAACATCAAAACTAACATTCTGTTGTAATGCTTTGTTTACCTATTATTTTTTCCCATAATTCTGTGAGCCCCTGGAAGGAAGGGGCATTCTTTATTCATCTCTATAGTTTCAGAGCCTGACAAGTTCCCCATACCTAGCAGATATTCAAAGAGTTTGACTAGTGATGAATGTGTGGGTGGGTAAACAAATGTGTGGGTGGGTAAACAAATGTGTGGGTGGGTAAACACCCCATTTAAGTGCATGGATAATGTACTTGGAAATTTGAACACATTAGTTCAGTCCTCAGGCTCTTGCTCTTTCTCAGGTCCTCCAGGGCCTCCAGAAGCTGTGACAATAGATGAAATCACAGATACCACTGCTCAGCTCTCCTGGAGTCCTGGGCCTGACAACCACAGTCCCATCACCATGTATGTCATCCAAGCCAGGACTCCGTTCTCCGTGGGCTGGCAAGCAGTCAGTACAGGTACCATATTGGATGCTGGGAGCTGGTGTTTCTCAGGGTGTTCTAGAACTGAGCATAATAGGCAATGAACTATGGCAGAATCCCAAGGATATGTAGGTAGACACAGCTATAAAGGATACCTATGTCTGTGCCTCCCAGACCTGAGCCAACTCTACTCTCATTTATTTAATGTTTTTCTTCTTAACAGCTTACATTTGTTTGTTTTACTCATCCTAAGCAATAGCATTTGCCAGATGATAGGTCTGCTGTGCTAGTTATGGTTTTCCTTAGGTCATATTTAAAGTTAATCATGTATAAAAATAAAATACATAAGTCTGGGTTTTACCTGAAGTCATCTGTATACCACTGTCATACACTTGGAAAGCAGTGGGGTATGCTAACTACAATGACAGTCTTTGTAAAGTTTGTATGCATCTTTCCAGAAAGCAGTATCTACAGACTGTAGGGAGCTTTTTGACTTATTATCCCTTCTGGTGAATGGATGAATATGGAGATGAGGAAATATGGAATTTTTAATCACTTTTATAAATCCTAGTGTTTTTAAGCCATCATTATTAGCATTTAGCAGCATTTTTACCCTCTTTCTCTCTTTTATCATATGTATTCTGCATTTCTCATTTTTTAAAGTTTCACAATCATTTCTCTTTGGGGTTTTAAATAGTTCTTCAATCTGTCAATATCTCATTTTTTAATCTAGATTTCATTTGAGGAAAAAGGGGACAAATAGTTCCTACATGCAAGACACATTTGTCCTTGGTCCCCTAGGGCTAACTGTGTGGCTTTGATGTGTTAAAGTAGAAATAAATGGAATGGTAGGCCCAATTTTATGCAATTTGTATAAATTGTATTGATTTTAACAACATTTAGCTTATCAAACCTCAGACATGTGTTTCTGTGTTTCCCTCTGTCATCACTGACTTTCTGTCGATTCACAGGAATATTTTAGGAAAAAATATGAGAAAAATCTTGAAGTCAGGCAGTAAGTTCTGACTGTGCTAATCAGGATATCTCTATACACCTTCATTTTTCTCTTATGACAAAATAAGAACAATTTAAGAGTGAATATAATAATTATACCTTAATCTTAGAATCATTATGAGAATAAATATATGACTAGCACAATATAATGAAGATAAAAAAAATTAGGTCATAACAATAATTACTATCAAGTAGCTTTGAAATTTAAAGACTTTTTGTGCCTTATGATATAATCTGCCTGAATCTGATTTGAGTGCATTAGTTTAACATACAGAGTTCTGGATCTATAGCTACTATTAGACCACCTACAAAAGAGATGATGATGATGATAATGGAGGACAGATGGATGGATGGATGGGTGAGTGGATGGATGGATGGATGGATTGATGGATGGGTACGTGTTGGGAGAGTGCATCGATGGATGTCCCTATCTTTCTAACATCGTCCTTACATTTGTTTTCTGGAATCCTACAAAACATTCCTACCTTCTGATGTCTTTCAGTTCCAGAACTCATTGATGGAAAAACATTCACAGCAACCGTGGTGGGTCTGAACCCCTGGGTTGAATATGAATTCCGCACCGTTGCAGCCAATGTGATTGGCATTGGGGAGCCGAGCCATCCCTCAGAGAAACGGAGAACAGAAGAGGCCCGTGAGTAGCACCCAGAATACACAATCTGTCCTGCCAGCTCCTATTCATTAAAGAGGGGCCTTGAATTCTTCCTGCTGTCTAACCCCTAGGAGGCTCTGGACTCACAAATCCTTCCTTTAAAATGATTATTATGATCAGAAATCAGGGAGTAGAAGCTTAGCAGGCAGTGAGTTTTAATCAAGATCTGAGTCCTCTTCATTGGGTCCACTGGTATAGCAAGAAACACACTGTGCTTAGTTCTATCAAAAGCCAACTTTTCTTCTTTGGTTCATGCGTCACCAAGAAATCATTAATGGCAAAGGGAAATTGTTTCACAAATGGACTAGGGAGGAGTGAAGAGGACTGGAAGAGGCAAATCAGTTGGAGCTATAATACATATATGCATGGAAATAACACAAGGATATTCCCTGTGTAACTATCTTTGTCTCAAACTAGCAAAACATCGTGTTTCTCGTTTCATCTTTTATGTTTTTTCTTCTGCAAAATTGGAGAACAGAATAGTGGAACAGGTTCTGCCTGGGGGAGTATTGGCACCAGTGGGAGGGGAGTATGGCAGGGAAAGGGGTGAGAGGATGAATGTGGTGCAAACAATGTATACACATGTATGTAAATGCAAAAATGATACCTGTTGAAACTGTTCCAGGAATCAGGGGAGGGGGATGGGGGAGAGAAGTGTGGGGGATTCAAGTATGATATATTTGATATATTGTAAGAACCTTTGTAAATGCTGCAATGTACCCCCACCCAGCACAACAACAATACTAATACTAATACTAATAATAAAAGGCAGTGGTAGCTTTAAAAAAAGAAAAGGCAATGTTCACTAGGATTTTCTTAGGGCATAAACCGTTCCCAGAGGCTAAAATTGAGGACATCCTGTGTACAGCTTGAATGAGCACAGGGACAAAATAAGACATAGTCACTGGATCAGAATTCTTTCCTGTAAATTGCAAAGCCTGTATGTGTGGTCTATGTAGAATTCCTTGCCACAAAGAGGACAAATAATTTTTGAAGGAATATCAAGATCCTAAGGAAATGAGAAATCTCACCTTACTTTCAGAAAGAAAATTTTACAATCCACCTAGGTCTGTGTCCTTGGCTTTTACCCACGTGCTAGCCAGACATTTTAAATTCTTCCTGGAGTCTTTCAGTTATATGACAACCTAGCTAATTTCATGCTTTCTTTTCCTCTCTCCCAAACTATAATTTAATTCCACTCAGCCATCCCGAGGAGGAAGTGAGCCTGATTTCCCCATTTACACAGAAAACTGGGGATCAAAGCGGTTAAGCACAGTGAGCCAGGGGTCAACCTAAGTCCACCATTTCCTTCAACACCCAGCTCACAACTCACCTTCTTCTGAGACGCCATTAGCCCAGCCCTCCTCTGAGCAGCCTGCTACTCCAGAACAGCACTGCACTTCTCCATTCTGTCTGCACTATACTTGTTTGTTGTCGGCATTGCTCTGTATTTGTTCTGCCTGTGCCCTCACACTCCAACTAGATTGTAAGCTCTACATGGGCACAGTTTGTTCTGTCTTTCCTCTTTGTACCACTACATGGTTAATAAATGCCTAATCAAGCTTAAGAATTGGCACTTCCATCCTTTCCTCCTTCCTGGAACCCCTTGATCTCTAGGGATGGAGCTGAATAATTTGTCAGACATGCCAGATAATATGTATTCCTTGTTGAATGGGAAACAAGTAATTAATAGCAATTTCCTTGGTACACATTGCTTCTTCTAGCACAAGCGAAGGGCCCCTTGGCCACACCATTTCTGATCTCCAAAGACAAAGGTGTATGCATCTAAGTTTTTGCTGACAGTGAGTCACCAAAGCCAGGAAACCTTCCTGGCACTCATTTGCTATTGCCAACTGACCTAACTTGTTTTCTGTCTCCTGCACAGTCCCTGAAGTCACCCCAGCTAACGTCAGTGGTGGTGGAGGCAGCAAATCTGAACTGGTTATAACCTGGGAGGTAAATAAATCATAGAACAAAAGGGACAGATATATGTGTCTAGGCTATTGTGCTATTTTCCTCCATGTTAAACATGGCTAGAAAGTCTGTCTCCTTTGTTTTTAAGAGCTAAAATCCATTTAAGTGCAAACACTTCCTCTCACATAGCTACTAACCAGCAGTGAAAGAAGGTGTTTGCCTATCAGTTGTCAAGGCAAGTTTTAATTTGATTCATCACAATCACAAAAGGGAAGACACACAGGTTATAAAAAAAAAAAAATTGAAGAAGCCTGGTTGAGAGACAACCAGTTTTTCTTTCCTTCCTAAGTTGCTGCATGGCCAATTAATTTAAAATGTTTGCCAATGATAGATTCAATGTACCAGCACAATTTCCTGGCAGTTGGTTTGCTGCTGGATTATGAGGTATTTCTTTAAACAATCTGGAGGAAGGCTAACCACCAATTTATTAAGAATTGATTTTTGAGAGAGGAAGTGGGAGCTTCAGAAAATGTCCTTAAGGTGTTTGAAAGATTCTAGATAATAGCTCCAGAAATGGAAATCTTTCATTTTGAACCTAGAACCCAGCAATGAAAGAAATCCCCCATCCCCCTCCTCACCCAGCTGAGCTCTTCCTATCTTCTGAGAGCCAAGTTGGTCTTCTATCAGTGAGATCTTTTGTCTATTTGGCACTGAAAGCAGATTAGTATTAGATGGTGTATGTTGGAAATGCTGGTTTTCGGGACACCAACTGTCTAGCTAATCCCCTATCTGTGCCATCAGAGCCAAGCTCTCCACTGTAAATCTTGATTTAATTTTGTAAGTCTTCCAACAGTCTAATACCTCATGGACATCTAACACAGACTGAAGGCCAGCACTAAATTTAAAAGGTCCTTGACCAAAACCCAAAATAAAATGGCAGGGGTGTCTCAACAAAAATGTTCAGGGAAGGCATACAATTTTAGCATCTGAGTCAAACTATTGTAATTTCTGAAAATCACCTCTCTTCTTTCCCAGACAGTCCCTGAGGAATTACAGAATGGCAGAGGCTTTGGTTACGTGGTGGCCTTCAGGCCACATGGCAAGCTGATTTGGATGCTGACAGTCCTGGCCTCAGCCGACGCCTCCAGATATGTGTTCAGGAATGAGAGCGTGCGCCCCTTCTCTCCCTTTGAGGTTAAAGTGGGTGTCTTCAACAATAAAGGGGAAGGTCCATTCAGTGCCCCCACATTAGTGTATTCTGCTGAAGAAGGTATGATTCATGCTACCTAGATATTGTTATTTCTTCAATTCTCAAGTGGTGCTCCTTTTAGTATATGCAATAAATGTAGAATGTACAAAACATGTAAACCAAAAGAATATCCTAATTTGAGAAAAGCATAATGTAAAAAATTTGGTTCATTATCCACTACCCATCTCTTAAAAAGACAGCAATTCAGACTGGGCAGGGTGGTACATGCCTTGTAATCCCAGCACTTGGGAGGCTAGAGTAGATGGATCATAAGGTTAAGGTCAACCTTGGTGACTTGGGAGTTCAAAGCCAGCCTAGGTTTTATAGTGAGACCCTATCTTAAAAACAAAAATTTAAAAAGCAACTCTTGTATATATAAAAACACACGGCTATCCATTATTGATTCCATTGCTAAGGACTCAAATTGCAAGAGATATGTGTGTACATATATAATGTTATCATCACTTTAAAAAGAATTATATTTAATCCCTTTAAATGTGCATCAAAGTAAAAATTGGCATTTCCTCCTAACACTTGTAAATTTGTAAATCATATTGTTCTCACAACCTACTCTAACTTACTAGAGAAAAATAGATCGTGAAGCAGCAAAATTTCACTCATTGCCATCCACTGTCTTAATGTTTAATGCTTCTCACACATTATTACCACTTCTATGCAGTCTCTGCTCTCAAGATGCTCTCACACAGTCTTCATTGCCCTTGGAGTTTGAATTTATAGAATTTTTTCCATAAATAGTATATAACTCTGGTGTGGGGAGCAGACTATGAGAAGCCTATGAGAACTTGACATAAACACAGCTATGTCAAATAATCTGCAGGCTGAGTTGGTACAGCCCCAGCCACAGAAGGGGGGAAGGGCAAAATGCAGCACAGCTGCTTTTACTAAGATGCTTACTTGCAGACTACAATGTCACAGCTGCCCTCCAGAACTGTTGCTCCACCTCCTTGTTTGGCACTGGATATAAAAGACTCACCTGAGGTGGACAAGGCTGTTGTGTGTCTCCTTCCAAGTGCCCAGCCCACCTGACCCCACCTTTCTGCATGTTTGTCTTCTATCTTTTGTCTTTTCTCAGTCTCCCATCAGTCCCAGTTAGGTTTCTAGGATGAGCTCGTGCAGGTTGTGAGACTCTGGCTAACTGAAATTTGGGGAACAGGGTCCAGCCTGCCCTTTGCAGCTGAAGATGCTGAGGCCCAGAGAATGTAAATGAATGTAAATTGTCCAAAAGTTTAAAGATTAGAATGAAGACCTTTGCAGAAGGCATGGCTCAAATGGTAGACGGCAACCCTAGCAAATAAAAGACCCTGAGTTCAAACCCCAGTGCTCCCCCAAAAAAGAATGAAGAATGACACCCAGCCCTCTTGAGTCTTAGTCAAGTCATTGACTGTCCTTTTTCCTTTTCTCTCTCATTTTCTTAATCCAGTGACTAGGAATATCACTTATAACAAATGCTAATTTAATTAAGTAAGATCTGCTGAGGGAATTTGGTGACCATGAAAATTTGATATGTAAACTTTGTTACTTCAATTCCACTTACCCCCAATTTCAGAAACCAAAGACTGTGGATGAGTCTCTTCACTACCACCATCCTCCAGATGTTGATCATTGCTCCTCTGCAAAAGGAGGGTTTGGCTCACAATCATTAAGAACAATTCTATAACCATGGATTCTTCATACCTTATAGTGCCATATCTGTCCTTATACAGCTGACAGAGTAATAACTCTTTTTTTGCATTCACCTGCAGAACCCACCAAACCACCAGCCAGCATCTTTGCCAGAAGTCTTTCTGCCACAGATATTGAAGTTTTCTGGGCCTCCCCACTGGGGAAGAATAGAGGCCGAATTCAAGGTTATGAGGTAATCAAGAGCTAGGTGCTTTGTATCCATACCCCTCACTGAGACCTCTGGACCCACTCTGATGGAAAAGATCCATATTTCCATGCATAGGCATTTGTTTTAGAGGCCTGGATTTAGCAGAGCATTAGTGAAAGCACTGAAGGCTCAGCTGTGAGGCCACCCTTTGTTGGCATTACACTCTGGTGGTATTTTTCAAAATATATGCAATCCTAAGATTTACAAGATGGTTGACAAAGTGAGGCTCATGTGCCCAGGATCACTGAGGCTCAAGACAAAGGTGGAAAAAATGGAGAAATAGTTTTCTGATTTACCATCTCACTAGAAAGCTCAGAAGAAAAACAGGAGGCCTTTCTTAACTGTGGATAATGCAAATGTCTTTGTCCTGAAAAGCTCTTATCATGAATCTGTATAGAAAATTAACTCCACCATACGAACTTGCATAAAAATATTACCCGATGACATTGGAAATATCCTCATGGGGTATGATTTCCAATGTCTTTCTTTTTATATTCTTAGGTAAAATATTGGAGACATGACGACAAGGAAGAAAATGCTAGAAAAATACGAACAGTTGGAAATCAGACATCAACAAAAATCACCAACTTAAAAGGCAGTGCACTGTATCACTTAGCTGTCAAGGCATATAATTCTGCTGGGACAGGCCCCTCCAGTGCAACAGTCAATGTCACCACTAGAAAACCACGTAAGAACAAATTTGCTGGGAAATATTTTTGGAATTCATCAAACATATCCCAAGTTCATTCTCTATCCCCACCTCCCAGTGATCATTTTCATACTAATTGGTATCATTATGGGGATTCAAATTCACCTTAGCATTTTAACTGAACCTTTCAGAATACCATGTCAAATTCATTGCTCCAGAGGACAGAAAGATAAATGTTTTCTCCTCGCTGGGAAGGGCTACTTCTTTTAGCTGTAAATGTTAGGCGACCAACTGAATCTTTTTCCATTTGCAATGCTGTATCTCGTCAGATTTCAGTGACCTTGAAGACACATATTAGAGCAATAGCCCATTAAATTGCCTCCACTCTTGAATTCTAGTAAGGAGCTATTCCTCAGAATCCATTGAGATTTAATAATCTGTGACTTCGTATATCTTAATTTTTTTATAGCACCAAGTCAGCCCCCTGGAAACATCATATGGAATTCATCAGACTCCAAAATTATTCTGAATTGGGATCAAGTGAAGGCCCTGGATAATGAGTCGGAAGTAAAAGGGTATAAAGTAAGTAATTTTTTTTTTTGCAAAGACACCTAAACCTGCTGTTAGTAGGGACAGTGTCCTTACATAAATCATATGGTTCACGTTCTTCTTTTCCCTGATGATGCTTTCCTGGCCTCTTTAGGAATCTCTGCTCCAAAATGGTTTGGTTAAGGTTTTATAAATACTCTATGACAATTGTTCAGGAGGATTTAGGTAGTCATGTGTCAGTCAGCCTTCCATTACTATAACAAATGCTTGAGATACTCAGCTTTCAAAGAAACTGGCTCATAGTTTCAGAGGTTTCAGTCCATGGCTATTTGGCCCTATTACTTTTGAGCCTGTAGCAAGACAATACACCATGGCAGGGAGCAAGCTCACCTCATAGAAACTAGGAAGCAAAGAAAGAGAGGAAGAGACCTAGATTCCCACAACCCCTGCAAGGACCTATCCCCCAATGGCCTAAAAGTTCCCACTAAACCTCACTTCTTAAAGGTTCCATCACTCCCAATAGCTCCACAATGTGGGGACTGAATCTTTGACACACATGGGCCTTTGGGGAACATTTATTCAGCCATGGCATTACCTAAACCTTAAGCTCAGTCATCACCCATCAGAAATGCTTATGGACCCTATGGTTGTGTCTTCACAAAATCCTGAAGAACCACCTCTTTAACATTTCTTTTGGCAGCTTTGTTTTATTCTTGCTTCCATTCTCTTTTTTAAATCAACAGTACTAACTTCCTAATATTACTAATGGTTCATCATGCCTGCCCAGTATAGTTAGGAAGCTTTACATATAGAAATAAAAGCTAGAGTTTTGCAGAAAATGTGTTTGCCTAGTCCTACAAATGCTGGCCTGTCTTTAAAGAGAAAATGAAAAGAAAATGCATGTACCCTTCTTGTCACAACAAAAGGAGTTATAAATACCTCAGCCAGGTTTTTGCTTCCTACTAGCACCTAACAAGCCACCTACAACCAGGGACTAAAAGAACAGTACATCATTTTCATGATTCTGCAGTCTGGACTGGGCTAACATGAGCAGTGTCTGTGGCTGGAATTACTGAGATACATCACATCACACACTTCTGGCTCTCACTTGGAATAGTTGGCAAACTGAGGCTGGCCAGGGATTATTCTCCACAAGGTCTCTCCACATGGGTCACTTGGGCTTCCTCACAATGTGACTATCTCAAGGCAGTCAAGCTTCTGATATGGCTTTTGGCTTAGACAAGAGAAAAAAATGGTAGCTGCAGTCCTTTGTATAGCTAAGGATGAAACTGGCTGCTGTGAGGCCATCCCCCATTCAAAGGGAAGGGAAATAGATGCTACCCTTTGATGTGAGGAGTGGTATGTATATGCAGAAAGGGAAGAATTAGTGGTGGCCATATTTGTAGACCAAAGAATACACTAAGAACACCATGACCAAGAGGCTGACTCAAAACACCTGTGAGGAATAAACGAAGAAACCGAGCATATTTAGTTGGATAAAAAAGCCTCAGGAGTGTGATATACACTTCAAATATCTGAAGGGCTATTATAAGGAATGATAAGTAGAATTGTTCCCCAAGGTTCCATGGAATAAATGTATGGCCAATGAGTGAAAGCTACATTGACATAAATTTTGGCTCAATTTTACTTTCTAGCAGACAAAGCTCTTAAAAAATGGACTTAGTTCAAAGAGAGATGGAGAGCCCTCCATTGCTGGAAATAAGCAAGCATTAGCTGTATCACTTTCTAGTGAGATATCAGGAAAGGAAGTACAGTGTGGGTATTTAAACAAATGGGCATTTTGTTCTGTTTCTAATTCCAGAATGTTATGAGTAAATGACTTCTACAAAAGCGTTTGAGAAACCCTAATCATTTGGCTATGTTGACAATGCTCTTGACCTCCAGTGGTTTTACATTAATACTTCAAAAAAATGGTTCTTGCAATTTTTCAAGTCAACTTTAATAAACTGTTCCATAGTTGTCATGATAAAAGGAAAATTGTAAAATCCAAACCTACGATTTTGAAATTTTGTCAAGTAGAAGAGCTTAGAAGTCTTCTAAGGATTTCAGGAGTCTTGCAAACTGGTCTTTCATCTATCACAAAATAAATGCAAGAATTGGAAAGATTTGCCCACTGCATAACATAAATGGCAGCAGCAAGCTGGGTAAAAGCTACAGCCAACTAGAGAATGTGTGCAGCTATCAAAATGTACCAGCTGCTACTCACTTCCTGCCTCTGTTGCCTTGTGAAAAAGTAGGCACAATGCCCCGGATAGTCCAATGTTTGAAAAGATGACAGGAAAAATGAATTATTGTGTAAAAATCTTCCAATTTGAAAATGTTGGCAACTTACCTATTTTTGTTTTGCTTTGCTTTTAAACAACATTTGAGGCAATGCATACCGGATGAAACCAGTATGCAGTCTGAATTAAGCCTATGGCTGCTGGCTTGTGACGTTTTTATACAAAGATAATGAGAGTAGCAGATAGGCAGTGCTGTCAGGCATGATTGCAGAACATGAGAGTATCAAAAAGAAGGACGGAAAGCCAAAGTTGGATTTAGGAATTGATATATAGGTGATAGAGCCTGGGATAATGAGACTAGAGAAAGACTTGGATGACCCTGCCTGGCATGGACTATTTTTTCTTCTTCCACATGGTACAGTCACTTGTAATCCACCAGTAGAGAAACATTCTCTAGTAACTAATCTGCAGACCTTTCACTGAATCCTTTTTCTTTTTTGAGTAGAACTGAGGTTCCAACTCAGGGGGCTTCATGCTTGCAAAGCAGGAACTCTATGGCTTGAACCACACCTCCAGTCCATTTTTCTCTGGTTATTTTGGAGATAAAGTCTTGTGAACTATTTGCCCCGCTGGACTCAACCATATGTCTTCCCAATCTCAGAATCCCAAGTAGCTAGGATTATAGGTATGAGCCACTGGCACCCAGCTTTGAATAGTTTTTATAAGAGCCAACTGTGGGGGCTGGGTATGTAGCCCAGGGGTACATGTGTGCCTGACATACTCAAGACCCTGAATTTGCCCAAAGCAACCTCTTCCAGAGGGTTGTATAATAGCATAGAGAGATAAAATACCTATAATGTGCCTTTCTATTGACTGTGTGTCTTTAGAGTAAATTGCTTAAACTCTCTGAGACTGCACTTACTCTTTGTATAAAGGAAAATTTTCTAGTATTTTCACTTTTCTTTGTTCCTTTGCATAGCTGTTCCTTCTTCCTGGGACTGCTGTCTCATACACCCTTAACCAGTCACTCATTTTTCAGTTCTGAGCTTAGAAGCCTTCCCTGATTGCCAAAGCTCTGTTTACCAGAATTTTTATAGTGCTAGCCATCTTGAGTAGCTATAGTTAGCTCCTCAGACAAGGGGCTTCCAGACAACTGGGCCTGAATTCTCAACATTATTTCTCCAGCTAAGGATACACTCATTATGGCTGTATTAATATGAAGATCTAATTTCCTGTATTACTCTTAGTGTCAAATAACTTGAAAGAGTTTATCTGATCAGTTTTATCTGTGACCAAAGAGTCATGGGTTCCCATGTCTAGTTTTCTACTTCTAGAAGGTTATAAGTAAATGACGTTTACAGAAGTTTTTGAGAAACTGTCATCATTTGGGCTATGTTTTGGAAGGTGGAAGATGGTTGGGTATGCTGGAAGATGAATAGGGAAGAACAGATTTAAAAAGAAGGCATGAGTAAAGACCCATCTTTGCAACCTTGGAGTTCTGACTCTGGCTAACTCTGCTCCATCACCTTGACCTTGATCCCCACAACAAAGGAAAGCAAATATGAAGTGGCAGAACTGATTTAACCAAACTGAGGGAGAGAGTAGTGGAAAAACACAAATAAGTTCTTCTTCCCAACTATCAGTGAGACCCATTACAGTAAGTAGAGAAGGCATCTGCAAAATGCAGAAAGCTTTAACAGTCCTTAAGAAGCATACAGATTCCCTAGGTAAATCTTTAACTAGATTTTAAGCTCATTTTCAAGCTGGTGCTGAAATAAAATTGATGGGCAGGGAGACACCTAAAGTAAGGGAAAATGTTAGCTGGACTTGAGAACATCTTATGAAACCCCTCATTTCACAGATGTGAAAACTAAAGCCTGTTTAGTAGAGTGACTTAGAGTGTCCTCCTCTTTCTCAGGAGGCAAGATCAATATGCACACTGGTGCTTGCTTCAGTGAACTGGGCCTAAAAGATTATAGACATTTTTAGAAGAAAAATTGGGTAACGATTATTATTTAGTTGACACTTCTTTGTACACCTGCTCCCTTTCAGAAACCCTCAAATGAACTTGTCTTTGTAACACCTTTCCAAGAAAGCCTTTCATGAATTTATTACTGCCACAGACACTTTTTCATTGGGACAACATAGCATCACACAGGGTATCTGGGGAAATAACAGAGGTCAAAACAAACATGAGGGCATTTGACCTCCCAGAAAAGATCAGCTGGGCTTGGTGTAGGATTTGGGAAACTATTTTTATTTCTGTAGAAATAGAATAAAATATGGGGAAACAGATCTTTAATAGAGAATTTCATTCATTAAAAATGGCTTTTGTTTATATTAAACTTACTCCTTCCAAAATTCACTTTTCCACTTAAATACTGAAGGCATTAGATGTGGGCTTTTATTTTTTTCACTAAATTATCTGGGTCCATTAGTTCTCTGCTTGGGTAGACAGTCTTAATAAGAAGGTGACTTTACTACATTTGAGGTCCAGAATTTTTGTCTAGCTACTTTCTGACAGCAAAGTTAAAAGGAGAATCTCTGGTCTCAGTGTCACAAACTAAACTGTCTGTCGAGCCAGGCAGGTGACATAAATGAGTTACATTGACTCAGTCCATTCAGCAAATACTATAAATCTGTACTAACAACTGTTATGATTCATCTTACCCTCATAATAAACCATGAAATAACCCATTAGAGGAGAAAATTCTCATATCTAGTACATTTATTTATCTTAATTTTAGGTAAAGAATTATGCTCCTCTAAAGTCACACAGCTAGTATGCCAGACCTAGGATCCAAGGGAGGCTGAGGCAGAAAGATTGCAAGTCCAAGCTAGCCTGGGCTACCTAGTGAGACCGTATCTCACCAAAAACAAAACAAAACAAAACAAAAAAACAACCTGGGGTCTGAACACAGTGGTATGCAATATATATCTAGTTTTCTACCTTTTAGCCACTTAGTTATTCTGCCTGCCAACAATAAACAAGTACAGTGAACAGTAATAAAGTACTACATAGAAAAAGAAATGAGTTGGGAAATGGAGAGGGCCATGGGACAAATAAGAGTTAGTATTATATATAAAGGTCAAATAAAGCCACTTTAGAGATGTCTTTTCAATTGAGGAGGGACACGATAGGCAGCTCTCTAGGAAAAGTGTCACACATTCAGCAAACAGGTTGAACATATCCCAATGTAACAAAATGGGCAGCGTTAGCTAGACTTTGTGATTGACAGAAATGTAGACCAGTGTCTTTGTGTTCTTATAACAGAAAATTTAAGACTGAGCTTTTTTCTTTTTCTCTTCTTTTCTTTGGGGGTGTGAGTGGTGGAAATGGGGTTTGAACTCAAGGCCTCACTCTTGCTAGGCAGGTATTCTGACAACTTACTTGAGTCACTCCACCAGCCCAAGACTGGGTTAGTTCTAATGAACAGAAATGTCTTTCTCACAGTTCTAGTGAATGGGAAGCCAAGTGTCAAGGTAATATCAAAAGTGAACATCCTTCTTGCTGTGTTATCACATGACAGAAGGCAAGGGGTAAGACACATCAAGAGGGTGGCACTCTCCTGATGGCACCAGTCCTACCCAGGATTGCTTTCCCAGGAGGAATTCTACCAGGAAAATGTTGCTTTCATTAGTCTAATAGCCTTTTGTTTTCAGTACTGGGATTGAAAAATGCTAGGCAACCGTTCTACCACTTGAGCCCTTTTGTTTGTATAGGATCTGCCCAGACTTTGCCCAAGATGTCCTTGAATTTGCCATACTCCAGATTCCACCTCCAGAGTAGCTGGGATGACAGGCTGTGACCCACCACACCTAGTTGCTAACCAACTTTTAAATAGGTTCTAATCACCTCTTAAATGTTCTACCTTTTAGTACTATTACAATGCAGTTAAATTTCAACAGGAATTTGGGAGCAATAAAGATTCAAACCATAGCAACCACCAGGGCCATAGCTTCCAATTTCTCACTAGAATTCATTTTTTCCGTGCATAATTTGTCAGTTCATAAATGCTGACATCTAACTCAGAAAAAATTTAAACAGTATGAGGACCAAACCAACAAGGTGTGCAGCTAGATGTGATCTCTGTGACCCCATTTTTCTACACTCTAATCTCCTTAGTTTGCATTGATGGAGAGAGGGAAAGCAATTGGCTCACAGGCACAGAGGCAGTGGCCAAGCTGGTCTTAGATAAGAATCCAGTTCCTAGAGTCAGACTGCCTAGGTTTAAAGACAGGATCAACCACTTCCTGATCACAGGACTCTGGGAAATTGTGTAATATCTCAGGTCTCAGGTTCTCAATCTTTGAAATTAGAATAATAACAGTATCTACCTGAACAGGTAATATATGTAAACATTTAAAATATCCAGTGTTCCAACATTCAAAGAAAGAAGTCAGTTATTCTCTGAACCTTCCACCCTGGATTATATGAAATGCAAGCACAGCCTTCAAGTCAATCAGCTGAAGCAAGCATTTAGTGTAAATAAAATTTTACTGGCCCTTACTTAGGTTTCACTGCAGTCCCTAACATTACAAGACTGATAAGCAGTGCTGATACCAAAAAAAAAAAAATGTTTTTTCCTAGAAATGTTTCTTTTGGATTTATATTTGAAACTAGTTGAATTCTCTGAGCTCTTGCAAGGACCAGAGGTAAATCAAAGAAGCAATTTATTGCTCAAAGCCAGATGTGACCTTGCATCCAATCAACCAGCCCGTTCTCCTGAAGGGCTGTGAGGAGAAGCTTTGACACTCCTGGATGTGCCTCAGGATTTATTGGTGCTTGATCATTTAGCAAGCAGATGCTCAGCCTGGTACAGCTGATGCTCCAGAGGGGGGTGAGGGGTTGCTTATGAATCTCTCCACCTTAAGGAAATTGTGTTTTCCACCTTGTATTAGAGAGCTATAAATTAAGGTGATGAAATGCCAGGGGACAAATGGGATCTTGGCCATTTTAAGGGAATTTTATGAATTTCACTTGTATTTGGTTTTGTCTTGCAATACAAGAGTGACCTTATGTCTCTAACCTCAGTAGTAGATCAGCACTTATAGGGTGCCTTAGGGAAGGATGAGCTAGATTTGTGGTTCTCAAACTGGGATCCCTGGTCCAGAAGCATTGGTATAAGCTGGAATTTATTAGAAATGCAAGTTCAAGTCGCAGCCCAGATTTACTCAATCAGAAACTCAGGGAATGGACTGAGCAATCTGGCTTAAAGAGCCCTCCAGGTGACTGTAATGCATGCTTGAGTTTAAAAGCCACTAATCTAATTCATGTACCCTATCCCTATATTAACATCATCTGGCAATCTTTTTAAAAAATAAAAATAAAAACATATCTGGACCCCACCTGTGGAGGTCTTACTCAGGAAGCCTGGAGTGGATGTGGAGCAGGGTTTCTCACCTCTTTGCTACTGATACTTTGAACAGGATGATTCTCTGTTGTAGGGCTGTCCTTTGCAATTGTAGGATGTTTGGTAAATCCCTGGTCTCTACACATTACACTGCTAGCACCTGTTGTGAAAACCAGAAATGCTTGTAGACATTATTAAATATCTCTCTGGGGGACAAAGTTGCTCTCCCACCCTCCCACCCCCACTGAGAACCATTAGGCTAGAACATCAGTTTTTCACAAGTATCTCAGGTGGCTCTAATATGTATACAGGAGTGAGGACCACCCATCTCATCCCACCCTATCATTTTTACTATCAAGGGAAACTTGGAGAGGGTGGGCCATTGTGGTTTAAGAAAGTGGATTTATGAATCCTCATCCTGCCAATTATCAGCTCTCTGAGGTTATCAGGCCTCAGTTTCCTCATCTGTGAAGAGAAATAGCAATACTTGTGTTATAGGATTGTGGTGACAACTCAACATGGTGATGTTGATAAAGTGTCTATAAGCATCAGAAAGTATCCACAGGATAGGAATCCTCATGATCTTTGCTGCACACACAAAGGGTGACACACTTTTCCAGGTCTTTATGTCTTGTTTCTGAGTGGGTTGATGCTTGCTAGAGCAGTCAGCCCCAGCAGGTGAGTGTGTTTTCAGGAATGCTAACTGACCACCTCATGAAATGAATCACAGCCCAAGCTCAGAGCCCAAAGAGTCTCAAGAAGGAAAAAACAGTGCATGAATGGGACTATTGCAAGCTACAGACACATCTAAAGTGATAGTGATTGCCTCTTTTCTATGTATCCCCTTAAAAGGGGGTCCCAGTGGAAGGGAAAAGGTGGGTATTAGGGCCTTTGTCTCTTAGAAACTTCCTGTGCTGTATGTCCTTTCTCCAAACGATTAACGATAATACTAACCTGTCAGTCCTGCCTTATACTTAGAACCTTTGCCATATATGTTTCTCTTACTCCCTTTAAGCTTTCAGAGGTACTATTTCTTACATGCTTCTTTTAAGCCAGGCCCTCATTGTATTCAATCCTCATGTGATCTTGAAAGGTGGCCATTAGTGTCCCCATCTTACTGATGAGGGAAGTGCAGTTCAGAGAGGTGAAGTAAATGGCCCATGGCCACCTAGCAGCCAGCTCTATTCTGATGCCAATGCCCCTTATGTGTAACAGACTCCATGAATCCTTGAGGAAGTATTCCTTTTCCTCACTGTTCTAGGTGAGTTAATCTGGTTTCCAGGTGAGGCTCCACTGAGAGGCTAGACACACAGCATGTTGACAGAATGATGCTCCCCCATCCCCCGCCTGCAGTATCCTTTAAACTGTCTCTCTCATAATGACATGGTAACCGCATGGTAACCCTCACTGTGAACAAGCCCTCCAAATGTGAGCGGGCAACCAGACCATCTCAATGCCCCTGCATTTTGCTGGTACCCAGAGGTGAAAACAAAAGAATGCCCCATCTTTTGGGGCCCTTGTGAAGACAGAAGGTGACACCTGTTCTCTCTGCATTGGCAGGTCTTATACAGATGGAATAGACAAAGCAGCACATCTGTCATTGAAACAAATAAAACATCAGTGGAGCTGTCTTTACCTTTTGATGAAGATTACATAATAGAAATTAAGCCATTCAGCGATGGGGGAGATGGCAGCAGCAGTGAACAAATTCGAATTCCAAAGATCTCAAGTAAGAGTGTCTCTTTTCTCCCTCTCCCCATCTCCCCGTCTGTCTTATTGTCAGTCCTCCAGGTGATGAAAATGTTGATGTCAGAGCATAGAACTGGACCTCAGAGGAACACTGGGGCCCCACAGAGCCATGCTCCAGAACTTAGGCTTGCTTTGCCAGTCTTGCAGGATTTTATATTTGCAGTATCATTTTTGCATATAAATACTAAGGGCATTTTGTGTCTTAAAAATCTAGAGGGAACAGGATTGTATGTTTCACCAAATAAGAGCTCTGACTTCTGTTGAAAGGAAGACAGATATAGGATAAATTGTAGAGCTAATGTCTAGGCCACAAAAACACAGGATTTACTTATCTCACTTAGTTAAAATCTGACTACATACTTTGTTATCATTGCAAGGATATTCTTTTTTAAGTTGACTGATGTTTCTTGGTTTTATTCATTACACAAGTTTGTACTAAGTAATTATACTAGTATCGTTATTAGATGATAAGGATGTGACTATGAACACAACATGATTTCTTCCCTCAAAAGAGTTTTTTCCGTTATGTTGGTCAAAGAGATCTCACAACCTTCAAGAAACCCTGAATGATACTAGAAACCTCTTACTATGAAAAATACAATACCCATAAGAAAAGGTTAAAAATGTTTTAGATTATTTTGTTTGACAAATGGGCATATATAGACAGACCTGGATTTGATTCCTAATTCAGCCATTCACCAGCTAGAAGATCATAGCTAGTGTCCTCTCAGGGCCAATCTCCTCACTTGTTAAATGGAGTAATAACAATACCTAGTCCATAAGATGTTCTCGTGAGATTTAAATGTCATAACATCGTGGTCTGTGCCCAGCACACAGGTAGAATTTGAAAAGGAATAGCACTTTTCATATTGTTGCATCGATATATGATAGCATGTATCAGTATTAGTAGTAGTAATGTTAAAGTTTCTTCCCACATTAAATTTGGACATTTTCATTTCACAAAAGCTTTTAAAAAGTTGTTATAGAGATGTCCTACAATCTGTTCCCAAGTTCATAGCCAGGTAGTCACAGAATTGATATTAAAGAGTCATTGAGAGACCAGTTTCCAGAAGAACCCAGCCAGTTCTGCAGTCTTGGGAAACCCAGCGGCTTCTCTTCCCTAGTTGGCTGCGACCATTTTAAGTGAATTTCTTCTCCCTTTTCAGATTCCTACGCAAGAGGATCCGGGGCTTCCACTTCGAATGCGTGTACACTGTCAGCCATCAGCACGATAATGATTTCCCTCACAGCCAGGTCTAGTTTATGACAAAAGTCATCTAAAGGACTTGTTATTTATAATATAAGCAACATTTAGCTAGTTGTTTTGAAGACACCCAGTACTAAGTAATATTGTTGTTCAAGTACATCTTATTACTGGAAAAAAATGTTTTTTGCTTCTTTAGGAATGGCGTTATGCAGTACTTCCTCAAAGCAAATCTAGCTTTGTCTGAAGTTTCTTTGGAAACTCTGCAATGCACTGAAGACATCTGTAATATGATGTTACCAAAGCAGTTTACATGTCCTTATATGCATATTTTTATTATATATTTAGTGTTTTATAGAATTTTTTAAAGTTAACATATAATGTAGATATTAATTTTTTCCTCTGCTGTAAAATGCTATGGGTAACAACCATACAATTATGATTTGAGAATATTTCCTTTAAAAACAGAGTGTGAAACTCATCTTGGTAAATAAATTGCAAATGACTTGCACAGTTTTACAAGGATTTAGTGGCAGAACAGCTGGAGAGTTGGTCTATAACCCAAGGCTGCTGTGTATAAATTACTCTTTGAATGGTTAATGCATTGAATCAAGTACTTTTGGCACATACAATATGTTTTCTTACCCTGTTGTGAATTTTGTCATTCAACACAACTTGAGATGGCTTCAGGAATGGCTACAAATCTCAAAAGCTAATCTTACTGCCTAAGAGGCACCTTGTGCAATACCTCCCATCCTTGAACTTAGCATCGTACAGTAAGACTTTCTTTTAGCATTGTCTTTGTAGTAGCATAATCTCAGACATTGAATTTAAAGTTACATATCCTGTAGTAACATAGACCAAAAGTTACTATAGTCATCAAAGACTTTCAAAGGAGAAAAGATAATTTTACTATCTTTAAATGTATTTGTTTGAATGCAAATTTTAAAAAAGTAATTCTCTGTCAGTGTATTCATAATTTCTTTACAAAATTTCTTATAAATAAGATGTGTATCTCTGTAAGAATAGAGCCCTTCTTTTGAAAAAACACTCACGTATGGAGTTTGAAGGATTTGTCCTCTTTCAGCAAATAGCTGCTGCAAACAATTTTTCATATGACTCTATAAAAGATCTTTAGTACAATTGTATGGTAACTTGATGATTCTCCTGTTTTGCAATAGCTAGCCTAGTTGCTTTATAAGCTTTACCTTCTAAGTCTTAAAACTACACATTGGAAAATGACAATATCACAAAACTGTATTCTTATGAAAAGAACTATTTGTTATGCTGGGGGAAGTTTTGTAAGCTGACACTAGTGGAACAGTGATATAAAAGGCAATGAGGTTTTCTATACAAATATTCACCTGTAAACACACTACCACCTTTTATTCTTTCTCAGAGAACTCACATTTGCCTGTAATTTGTCATTCTTGCGTACAAATAACGTAAGTTAACTTTTCAACCTTCTAGTTATATTCATCCAATAAAGTCATAATCAGGATTCCACTTGTGTAAAAATTAGGGTGGTAACCAGAAAAAAATATTGTCAGTATTTCAAGCTGTGTTCCTTTCTTAGTTTGATATGATTACTTCTATGTTAAAATAAGATTTAAAAATCACACGCAAAAAAAATCAACAAAATAATAAAATGAATGAAAAAAAATGATACCCCAGGTAGTTCCCAACCCCAGTGTAAATTATATTTACCAGTGATCTAGCAAATGTAATCTTTTTTTAAAGGTATTGTTAATAAATATTCTGTTATTTGTAAAGATACTTGTCTTCTGGGAGCATTTTTCCTGCCTGCCTGTCAGGGAATTTGTTAGCTTACTCTTGTGCTACTCATAATTTGGGATCATAGAGGGACTCAAAAGTCTCTGGCCATGACCCAAAGCTAATTGACCCAGAGCTATCCCTTTGGAATTGACAATCCTGAAGACACCATTTCAAATCCTCTTTGGAAATAGAGAGGGTCAAAACCCACAAATAAATGTCCTGAAGGTCAGACTTGATTAGCTAAGTCTTTTGTATATTTAATCTAAATATACCTATTGTTTCCCTCCTCCCCATTGCCAAAATGATAAAATCTAAACTTAAGCACGTAAGGCCCTTCCTAATGTAAAACACCTTAACTCTGTAGTCAGCCACATTGAGCCCTCCTGAGCCCCCAAACACTGCTTGCTTTTGGTCTCACCTCTGTGCCTTTTGGTCTCATGGCTGCCCCTTCCTGAGATGCCCTCTCCCACCCAACTGTCAACTATCCTATGGTACCTCCAGCCCCAACTTACCTGTGAGATCTTCCCACTTCAGTCCTCTGTGATATCCTCCTTCTGAATTCACAGAATCCCTTCATTTAGTAATTAATCAGGTACTACTTTTGGAAAGAACTCTTGTATTGTTATCTTGCATATTAACTTAACTCCTGTATTGTTACTTACTTTTCCTTGTATGTATGCCTTGTCTTCCCAACTAGATTGTAAGCTCCTTGAGGGCAGGGATGTTGGTCTTCTCTTCCATGTACTCTCCATAGTGCCTAGCACAGTGCCTTGCAATAAATGCTCATTGATTAATTGATTGAAGGGGTCTTTGAAGTAGCATTTTGCATCAGTTGCCTGCCTGTGTGCCATCGTAAACCAACCAAGGAAGACTGTGTCATGAATTTCGTGGTGTGCTGGAAAGTGTTAGTGGCTTCTGACATTGTGTCTTCGTGAATTTTCACCACTCAGCTTCATCATCTGATAATGAAGCCCTGAAATAGCTGAGTCTGACTGGCCTGCAGGTATTATAGAAAGTACCCCATAGGCAACTTCACCCAAACTTGTTGGCTTCCGTGGTTATCACAGATAAAGTTCACTGGTCCCAATAAACAGAAACAACTCTACTAACTTGAGCAGACAGAAATGAACTAATTAGCATGACATAGGTTTGATCACAGAGCCCAGGAAACACCTAAGGACCAAGCCTTGGTGATGAGCACCAGGCCATTCTGAGGGTTCAGAATGCAGGAACTTTGCAAAGTATTTTCACTGCATAGTTATGGAGATAACTCAGCTTTGTTTCTGGTTTTGATGCCACTCTGTCTGATATCCAAAACTTCTTCCAGAAGTGTCTGATCAATTTGGGTCACACAGACAGAGAACTTTTCATTAAACTCGCATTCATCAGAAGGGAGTTTGGCAAAGAAAGATGGGAATGATGTTTCTAGAAGGTGGGAAAATAGATATTGGGTGGTTTTAAACAACAGACTTTGTATGTGTTTCCAGTCAAGTAGAATTCCCAGGCCCCAGGCCCAAGTCACACACTCAGATGTAATGAGTTGCTACTTAAGACATCTTCCCAAAGGAGGAGCATTAGGAAGATGTGCTTGATAATTTAACCTTTTCAATTGCTCTGTTAGCCTTTCTTTTGTGTGTAATCCCCCTGTGATTTAACTGTATAGAAGACCATTTTATCCTAACAGGTAATTTGATCCTCTCAGTGTATCTAGCTTTTATAGCACCAACACACCTTGTACAAACCAGCAGCTTTCCATGTGGGTGGAAGACATGGATGATAAACTTCATTTCTCAGGTAAGCACTGAATTCTGCCAGCCTATGAGGTGAAAGGTACAGAGAGCTTTTCTCTTAAAACAGAATGATTGAGTTACTGCTACCATCAAAATCTTGGTTATTTACATCCAGGAGGTGATTTAAATCTTGAGTAACCTTTTCTCAATCTCCCTTTCCACTCCTGTCTTACTGCAAATATGCTCATGAATGTTGAGTTATTAAAAATATATAAGTGATACATAATTAGCTACTAAAAGGTCATGCAATTTAATGTAATATCAACCACCAGATGATTTTTGTACTATATTGGATTATCATTGCTACTCTTCTATCCCTTTCACACCGATCATCAAGCTTGACTATACCTCCCTTATTTTACAATTAGTACAGGGCTGATTGTACTAAGATTTTTTTCTGGCTAAAAGTCTTAGGGGGCCAATCATAATAGTTAAAGGGGCTTTTTAAAATCAATGATTTATTTTCAATCTATGGACATATTCAAAACTATTACATCACAAAATGCCAGCCACCAGGGCCTTACACAGGGAGCCTAACATAGTAGATAAGAATATGGATTCTGGAGTCTGACAGCCTGGGATGCATGTTGACAGTGCCACTTAGGTAGAATAAAGTTCACAAAAATCCAAACACAGCTCTACAAGTATGAGTGATTATTTCATAAATCCGTTATTGTTTTTCTCCAGGGACATAGCCAAAACCACAGACATAGACTGTGGATGATTCCCATCCCCCAAATGAATTAAACTAAAATGGCATATCCTATGGCCTTTTATTTAAATATCACTTCTTAATATCAATTTACTATTTAATAACTTTAATACAATAAATGGAATATTTACAAATCTAAATATTGCTATTAATATTCATATAAAAGGAGATAGGCAATCGGGTCTTCATTCAGATGCCAGGTTTTCCACAAAGCCACCGTCAGTTTCCCCATCTGGTATTGACCTCTCCTTTCTCTGACTTCCTGTGCACCTGGTTCTGTCACTCATACCTCTGTATCTAGTTTTTAAATCATTTTCACTCATGTGATGTGGAAGAGGAGTATATCTGTTCCCATTTCATATGGTTTCCCAAGCCCTCTGCCAGACTGTGGTTATTCTATGCATGTCAGGATGTCCATTCTGTAAGGAGGCTCCTTTCCTACAACTGGAATGTAAACTGCAATACTCAATAGAACTCACAGTGCAAACAAAATTAGCCTAGCCTTTATCACCAACAGTTATGGTCAGTGGTAGATTAGCAGAGCTCATATAAGAAAAGTCACACAGATAGAAAGTTTAAAAAATAAGTCAACCACATGATCTGAAAGTCTGGAAGCTACAAGATTGAAATACTTAATATGGGTATGATTAAATGTGACATCTTCAATCTCTGTCAACTGAGCTATTCCTACACATTCTTGCCTCTTTTAAGAATAACACCGACTATACCAGGAAATATCTAGATATATTTTAGGATTTCAATGAACAAATAGAGATGGCTTAAATTTGGTTTTTATGATTTCCAAAGTGTTCTTCATGCTCAGGAGTGACAGGTGTGAGTTTCATTTTTGAAATGGAGGCAAATAGGTGATACCACAAGCCCAGAGAAACACAGACCACTAGAAGTAGAATTTTCAACTCTTGATTCAGTGCATTTCAACACCTAGTGTGTGGTAACTTTCTGTAACTGTGACCAAAATACCTGACAGAACAACTTAAGGGGAGGAATTACTTATTGAGGCTCATGGATTCAGAGTCCAGTCCATAGCTCTGTTGACTCTGGGCCCATGGGAAGCAAAAGCATGTGACAAAGACTACTACCTCATGGTAGACAAGAAACAGAGAGAGGAAGGGGCTGGAGACCAGGAATAACTTTCAAAGGCATGCCTCTAGTGACCTACATCCTCCAGCTAGGACCCACCTCGTAAAGTTTGCACCACCTCCCAAAATAGCACCACCAGCTGGGGAACAAGTATCCAACATAGGAGCCCTGTGGGAGACATTTCATATTCAAACCAAAATACCTAAATATAAGTATTTCCTGAGAGAAACAACAGGCTAGAGTAAGGAACCTCACCCTTAAGTTCAGCTAGAGCACAGTGCAGTAAAGAGTTGGCAAAAGGGAAGTGGTAATGTGGGAGGCAGGATGTCGGGGGTGAAGATTGGGAATGAAGACATTCTGAACAAGGGCAAGCCTGGGACATAGCTGTTCAGAGGAAGAGGAGAAGTTAAGGTCCCTGAAGTGGGATGGGTATTCAGCAAGGGGCTGTATATTGGCTACCCTCTCTGCACCAGCCAATAATATAGGTACAAGGAAATGATATGGCAGTCAGATGGTGGTGGGAAGCCAAGGGAATAGTAACAGGATATGGTGACACTAGGGAGAAATGCAATAATAATAGCTGACAATGCTTGTAGTATGTGATGATAGTCTCAGCCACAAATTAACCTGTATTTATTATTCCTATTTTACACATGGAAAATTGAGGCTGAGGAGTTCAGAAATGTGTCCCAGGTCAGAAAGCTGAGCAGAGGCCTGAGATTCAGATGCTAGCAACATGTTTCTAACACCGCCTCCAAATTCTAGATGTGTTGTTTATATATAGGTGACAGACACATAAAAGATAGAGGATAGAGATGATGATGATAGATAAGATAGTTGGAGTGATAGATAAGTAGAGATAGAGAGATGGTATAGATGATAGATAGATAGATTAGATAGATAGATAGATAGATAGATAGATAGATAGATAGATGATAGATAGATATAGATAGATAGATAGATAGATACTAGTGCCCATATAACAATGAGAAGAGAAGGCAGTAGAACGCCTCCAAGGAAGTTATACACTGATGTTAAAAAGTGACCAAGTCTGAGCCTAGCTGCATGGTACAGGATTCCTGTAGAGAGATCCCACACAGCTCAGGTGTGGTAATTTCTCTATTCTGAATAGGCTTAGTCAAGCTGCTTCTCTTTATTTGACTGCAAATTGTAATTTTTGCTTGTTGGTTATACTTAACTCCAGGTGAATTGGGGCTTTTTTTTTTTTATCAAACTCAGATTATCCTACAAGATCATGGTTGCCAAATGAAATATGAGAGGCCAAGTTAAACTTGGATTTCAAATTTATAAATGTGTACTCTTTTAGAGTATATTCCATACAACATTTAACAGGCCCTCTATTTTTATTTGCTAAGTCTTACAATTTTCTGCAGG